TAAGAATAAGACATCTTTCATGCGTCATTTTTGTACTAACATAGGGGGATCAAAAAAATCTTCCCTTTTATGTACTAAATAATCATTTCGATATGGAACCAACAAATTTTTTTTATAAAAGGTAAACCACATCCTCTACACCAAACCAATTCCAAAATGGATAATGACTTGAAAGGGTAACGAACTTTCGACTTTTGTCACATTTAGTCACTAAACTTTTTTTCGTTATCTATTTGCCATTGAACTATTGAAACTGTTCACATTTTACCCTCCGGTCATAAGGGTAAAATGTGAACAGTTTCAATAGTTCAATGGCAAATAGATAACGAAAAAAAGTTTAGTGACTAAATGTGACAAAAGTCGAAAGTTCGTTACCCTCTAAAAAGTTAAATGACTAAATGTGAACAAACTTCCTCTTGTATTATGTTTTAGCAAATTATTTATTTTTATTAAATTGTAGCAACATTTGTTGATGAAGAAATCTATGAAATAGGAAAAAAAAAAAAAAAAAAAAAAAACACAAAACACAAAACAAAACAAAACCCTGAAAATATATTTAAAAAAAAACAAAAAACCAAAACCGAAATACAAAACCAATGGTTTGACATTTTCCAAAATAAAAAATCAAAATTTCCAATCTGATTTTGGTTTTACAAAAAAATGAACCATTCTCACTGATGTGAATTATGACCATTGGTTTGGCATTCGAAATTTGTGACATCCCATGAATATGTAGTTACAACATCATCTGAACTCGTAATTCATAGTAAGGGGTTAGAGTATCATCGCATGAATACATAGTTACAACATCGCTTGAACTCGTAATTCATCACCTACAGGTTATGGGCATGCTGGTGTTTCCACTGTGTTGTCTAGAATAGTCCGTGATCGTCATCTATACTTTGGTAGATGACTACATCGCCACATTGCTGGTTAAGGTTATGGTATCTCCTTTCATCCTACATCACATATTCATCATCATCTATATACCTAATTATCATCACCTTTCTATCATCATATATATCTAATCATTTTATTTCATCACACACCAACTATTTCATCTACCCATGTTTCATCCGCAACATATTTGTAGATATAAAATAAATATACCGTTTAAATCTTTTAAAACATGTATAAAATCGTTCATCCAGTATGGACAACAAGTATTCAAATAATATGCACACATAACACGTAATTTATATAAAATACTTCATATCTATGTGTAAGATGAAAGTAACTATATCTACCATAAAAATCCCATAAATGCTTCCTAACTTCGAACCCCAAGGTTTACTCTACTAAAGCTTCATATTCTTGGCTCTCTGAACCTAGAAGGGTCCAGATCTATCACACCAAAAAGCTCAAGATAGCTCTTCCTCTCACTCTACACACTCAAGCCCGCTAGGGTTCTCACTTATGGGAAATGTAGTGGCAATTGAAGGCCATACGTGCCTTTAAATATGGCTCGGGCCCAAAGATTTAGGGTTTCTGCCAACAGCGCAGACTCGTCGAGTCGCCTCACCGACTTGTCGAGTCCATTCATTAATCCGAGTCATCAGTCGCGACCTTACTCGACGAGTTGAGGCGTCAACTCGCCAAGTCTCTCTTCTTAACTCAAAAGAAAAATACTTAAATTATGATACCTGGAAATCCGGATGTTGCATTTTGTTTTTTTATTTCATAAATTTCTTCATCAACAAATGTTGCTACAATTAAACGAAAATAAATAATTTTGCTAAAACATAATACAATAGGAAGTTTGTTCACATTTAGTCATTGAACTTTTTAGAGGGAAACAAACTTTCGATTTTGTTCACATTTAGTCACTAAACTTTTTTTCGTTATCTATTTGCCACTAAACTATTGAAACTGTTCACATTTTACCCTTATGACCGGTAACAGCCGGTCATAAGGGTAAAATGTGAATAGTTTCAATAGTTCAATGGCAAATAGATAACGAAAAAAAGTTTAGTGACTAAATGTGACAAAAGTCAAAAATTCGTTACCCTTTCAAGTCATTATCCCATTCCAAAACTCATTACACATATTTAAATCGCACAACACTATCGAACTTTGGAAATTCACACACTCATTACACATATATAAATCGCACAACACTATCGAACTTTGAAAATTCACACCATAATACCAACATACTATTTTTATCAATCAAATTCTAATAAAAGGTCACCAAAAACAACTTGATCATTATACCATTGTTTTGATATTTGATTTCAAATTCTTTATAAATTAATGACTATATATAATACAAAATCCAAAATCCAAAAAAAAAAAAAAAAAAAAAAAAAACCTATTATATATATTTTTTCAAAATCTAAAAATGTAAGTTTTACGAAAGATTTAGTATTAGATGTATGAGGATCTTTTGAAGACTTCCACATTAATGTGATGATGGTACATGATATTTACCATGCAGCAACACGTACATGACACCAGCAGTGGCTGAAGGCTGAACTGGACCTTGTAAATCAAAGAATCATCGTCTTACCAACGAGTCCATGGTCTGAAAACGTTGGTCACATCTTGCCTTCCATTAGATATACCATGGTCTCCCACCCACATAACTAAAACCCATCACCCAAATGTCAAAACTATCTTTTCCCAACTTACGCCACCATGACGATAACCTAATAAATCCCACAATTACCCATCACAAGGGATGTTATGGTAATTTCAGGCTTTCAGCCCCATGTCATTAGTATAATATATATAAAAGTCAGACTTTGTACTTTTATAGAAACAGATTGACAATATAAAGTCGCACATTATTTACTGTATTATTTTGCCTAAGTCCGGCCCCCATATTTCGAAAGCTTTGTATGAAAATGAAATGAGGCCCGATATTTTTTTTTTTTTTTTTTTTTTTGTAAAATACTACTTAGTAATTTTGCTACCGTTTAAATTCAAAATTTAAATTTATTAAAAAACATCTTGTACATTCACTGTCACAACATCATTTCTTCCCTCATTAATAATAAGTTGTAATTGTTATAAACAACTTTAAAAAGGAAAAAGTAAAATGGATTTACTATTTTTTTAAACATTGATTTTCTAGTATTTTAGAAGACACAACTAATTTTATTTAATGATAACACATAAAAATGTATTTTACAAAAATACCAACACAATAACTATATATTTGACCCAAATTCAAAGACCCTTTGAAATCGGAGGCCCTGTGCGACCACACTGTCCACGCGCCCTAGGGCCGCCACTATAGTCGAATTATATAAAACTTTTCGTTACAAATACTCCCTTATCCGTTTACAAATACAAATTTACTTATTTTAATAAGTGACTAGAAGAATTGTTTTGATGTAACTAAAATGTAAATGGTTTTTAAATTTCATAATATAAAATTACTTTCATTAATTTAAGATAGGTGATAATGATATAATCATGTAATTAAGTTAATACCTACATATGTTGCTTTTGAAAAGAAAATTAATACGAAAATATTATTCTTATATACCGTACAAAAATATTCCATGTATTTTTAATGTAATCTCGAAATTTTGGCTACATATGAAATTGGTTGTTCTTAGTATTTCGGGTCGGATCAACTCGGTGTATAAATATGGTAAGGGTACACTCACCATTTCCCATGCAGAGCTTTCGTGTGCCTCTTTAGATCCTACTGCTAGTAAACAGAAGATAGATACTGTTTCATCTCCACTTCCACTAAAAACATAGCATCCAAAACAATGAACACTCAGTTTTTCTACAATTCCTTGACCACACCTCAAATTCTAGAAAACTCCTCGATTTTCGACCAAAATCTTGAAACCACGTCTCCGGAAACCAATATTTCGTCGGAACACATAGCCGTCGGAAACCCTATTGTTCTGGAAGGCATTGCCGCCGTGGTCGGAGAACAGGTTCTGTTCGGAAAAAGTAGTGTTACATCAAGTGGTCACAGCGAAGGATCAAAGTCCAAACCGGTTAAGAATAATGGTGGTGTGGAGAAGAGTTACAGAGGGGTGAGGAAGAGGCCGTGGGGGAGGTGGTCGGCGGAGATACGTGACAAGATAGGGCGTTGCAGGCATTGGCTGGGGACGTTTGACACTGCGGAGGAAGCGGCGCGTGCGTATGACGCAGCGGCAAGGCGGATGAGAGGTGCTAGTGCAAGGACTAACTTCGAGATACCATCCGTGTTTCCGCTTCCAACGACGTCTTCAGCATCTTCGTCGTCGGCAGAAGTCAAGAAGAAAAAGTCCGGTAGCACATGTAGTACCAATAAGTGCCACGTAGTGACCTCGGTGGCTCAGTTGTTCAGTAATTCCGATCGGGAAATGATGAAGATGACCGGAATTAGTAATGTGGAAGCTACCTAAAATTTATGCAGTCTCTCTCTCTCTCTCTTCTCTCTCTCTCTCTCTCTCTCTCTCTCTATATATATATATATATATATATATATATATATATATATATATATATATATATATATATATATATATATATATATGCTTTTTTTCATCAATCATATGTTAGCCACTAAATTCCGAAGTTCTGTGAAGTTATATAGTTCTTTGAAAGAGACTTCTTATGCTTTTATATAAAAAAAATTGATATACCAATCGAGCGAAAATTGAAAAGACACGTGTTCGCACCCTCGTAAGAGTTAGATGAGCCTATATACCAATATTAACACGTATGTTGTGATTTATACCAAGGTCAGGGTTGACCGATTGGCGCATATGTTTATCACATTTGACCTGTTGATGGAAGTTTCTTTCAATCTACTACTGTTTACGCATTCATATATAGATTTTAGGCGTTCGACAAAATTAGTTTGTAGTAGGTAGCGTTTGATTTTGAAGCGTTTTATTGAAAGATACTTCATGTAATTTTTGGTTTTGTCGGGTTTTATATAAGACGTGTTTGGCACGGAGCTTTTTGGAAGCGTTTAGGAGCTTCTAGCTTTTAATTTTTGATAAAACGCTCTAGTTTAAACAAAAAGTTTTGTTTGACAGTACGAGCGTTTAGTTTTTAGTTTTAACAAAACGCTTCGATTTTAAAATCAATTTCCATAATTACCCTTAAAAATATATTTGAAAAAATTGCAAAAATGGTCCCTATGGTTTGCTGATTTCTGTGGGTAAGGTCCAAAAAAAAGTTTGCTAGCAAAAAACGTCCTTATTTGATGTTTGAGCTGTGGATTTGGTCCCTGCCTCTAACTGCCGTTAGAGGCATTCTGTTTTCTTCCCCACGTGATATGCATGCGAGAGTATTTTTGTCCTTTCATTTATGGGACCAAAATTGCAATCTAATTTCTCTATTTAACCTCGACTCAAACCCACCTTCCCCAACGGCTCTCTCTGTGAAAATGGTAACGATCATATGCTTTTGTGGCAACAATTATGTGTTGCACCCATCGTGGACTTCACTCAATCCAAGCCGACGGTTCTACGCATGCCCTCTACCGGTAAAGTAGCGTTCTAATTTTTGCCATCAAACACCTTATTGCTGCCCTAATTTTGTGTGCTTCATCTTTGAAAGGACTCAAAATGTCGATTCATTGGATGGTTTGATCCTCCAATCTGTGATCGTGCTAAGGCTATCATTCCTGGTCTACTGAAGAACATGAACAATTTGAAGCTTTCGGTGAAAGAGTTAGGAGATGAAATTCAGAATTTGAGGTTTTACTTGAAGATGGCAGTGAAAGAATTAGAAGATGAAGTTTGTAAATTGAATTTCTACTTGTGGTGCAGTTGGATTTTTTTCTTGTTTTCTGGATGTGGAATTAGGGATTTGGGTTAAGTTCTACCTATGATGCTAAGGTTTTTTTTGGGATCTTATTGTTTTGATGAATAGGCTTTTGCATACTATAATGGTCATTTCATGAACCTTGTACCTCGAATTATAATGTATGAAAATTATCTTATTTAATTGTTGTTATTATGGAGACTATAATGGTAATACAATACAGGAAATGGTATTAAGAAAAGTACAATACCATTTTGGAACTTACTAAGTGTTATTGAATCATAAGATATAATCCAAATAAGTCAATGCAAATTGCAATACCATTGCACATAACCAAAAGCAATTGTCATTACAATATCCAAGTGTAACAAAAAAGAAGCAACCACATGAGTTTTGGAATTGCAAAATAACTTAACATACTAATAACTAATAAACAACCAACATATGGGAGTTTCTTAAACAAATTAGAACAAAAGATGATTTAACAACTTAAACATTACACTTGACCATACAAACTACTCTTGATCATGACCCTCATTAGCTCCTCCACCCTCTTGTTGACCTGCACCTTGATCTTTACATGTCCTTTTTGTTTGCATTTACCACAAGTGACACTCCCAAATTTCCTACTAAGCTTCTCCACTTCTTTGGATCCTTGAGTTTGACTTTGACTTGCTATCACACTTTCAATTTGACTGAACTTTTCCTTTTGGCTCATTCTTTCCTCCATGGACTGTCTTCTTTTCTTCTTTGGCCTGCCAGCATTTTGTGGTATGGAGGTGGGATAATTCTAGTAGGACAATCACTTTTAGGCCACATTGCCCTACCTTTTATTGGTTCAACTTTAAATTCATACACAACCTTCCAAGTATCCAGTAAATAAACTTTGTGTACCCAAGTGTACAGCTCCCCTACCATTTCCCCATTGTCTGTCATCTCACTCCAAGTGGCTATGGCATGCCTGCAAGGGATTCCTGTCAACTCCCACTTCTTACATGTGCATGTCATCTGGTTAATGTCCACAACATGTTGATCATTCCATGGTCCAGCTACCTGATACTTTCCACCACCATTCCACCTTGCAATATACTCAGCTGCTTGTTGCTCATTCTTCTTTAACAACTTGGTTGCAGTAGGTGTGATAGGGCCTTGGCATTTCCTTTGCTCTTTTACCACATTGCAGATCCTCTTCATTAGATATTCCCTTATAAATTCCAGGCATGTAATGATTGGCTTGTCCCTTCCTTTCTCCAACTTACCATTCAGAACTTCACACATGTTATTTAGAAGCACATCTGAGATGGCCCTACCTGTATAATCCATAATTAAAATCATTGGCCAATAAAAACTAGTTGCATATCAATTAATAAGATCAATTTTATTTACCTGTAAAATGGCTTCTTGCCCAATGCATTGGTGGTATTTGATTCAACCAATCATGTGCAGCCCTATCACATTCAGCTAACTCCCTCATTGTAGATTGAAACTCTTGAACTGTGGTTGTTATTGCACACCTCCAAATAAAGTCCTTGAACTCCCTAGCTCTCCACTGTTCCCTCATGTTTTCATGGATGTGTCTTAAACAATACCTATGCTCTGCATTTGGAAATAATTATGCTATAGCAGCTATCACACCCTAAAAAGTAAATATAAGATTGAATCAATACATGTTAATTATAATATTGTAAAGGCATTATGCAAAAATAAAGAATTACCTTTTGCCTATCACTGATAAATGTGAAGTTAGAATTAGACCCCATCTCCAAATCATCCCCTAGACATTCCAAGAACCATTTCCAACTTGCGGTATTTTCATATTCTACTATGGCATATGCAAGTGGATAGATACCATTGTTTGAGTCTAAGCTTACAGCTGTAAATATTTGCCCATGACAATGGCCTTTCATAAAGGCACCATCTAGACCAAGAAGGTCCCTCATACCAGCTTTAAACCCCAACTTCAGTGGGCCTAAACATATGTAAATTCTCTTAAACTGCCTAGTGGCCAAGTGCGGGTTAGGCTCACTTACAACATTTATCTTCACTGTGGTGTTTGGATTGGTGGACTGTAATTCGAGTGTATAATCTCTAAGCAAGTCATACTGCTTTGAGTAGTCCCCAACAACATTCTTTGTAGCCCTTGCCTTAGCCCTAAACATCTCGTGCTTTGAAATTCCCACTGGGTATGTCTGCTGAAAGTCTTCTTGTAAGGATCGAATCAGAACTGTGGGGTTTGATTGAACTTGTCTAGTAATATGTTTTGCAAGAAAAGTGGTTGTGTAAGCTCGAATTTTCCTTGATTGAAGGCAAGTGTGCTTCAAACTGTACGTTTTCACATACCAATTCCTATCTTTCGAAGACCTAGATGCATATAAGTGCCAAGTACAAGTGGTTGTTTTTGAATTTACTGCTTTGCCCTTGCCTTTATTTACTTTATCTGCCCCACCTAACAAATGGGACCCACTTGCGCCACTTGTCCCACCATCCACATGTGGCCCGCTAACATTGGTACCAGGCACAACTCCTTTGCAGTATGCCCTTAGTCTTGTTGCATCATTCTTTTTAAAAGCAAGATCCCTCCTTGTTTCAAGTGCATGCTCATCCACTTTATTCTTAAGATCTTTCTTTGACTTCCACATCTGTCCCACATAAAAACTATATTTATGCACCTCACCATGTGAACATACTTTCTCCTTACCCAATCGTTTTAATAGAACCCTCCTGTTCTTTTCAGTATCAGAGTCTTCTCCTAATGACTCCCATACATCACTATCAATTACTTCAAGGTCTTCTTCTTCATTTGTTTCTTGTTCGTCTTCTACATCATTCTTAAACCCAAACCCTGAATACTCCACAACTTCATCAATGTTCATTCTAAAGTCACTCATGTCAACATCAATGTCATCAACTTCATTGTCTATGTCTACTATAACATCACTGTCATAATCACTATTAGAATCATTATCATCTTCACCATTTTCTTAATTGAACTCATCTGCTTGACCATCAAATAAACCCCCATTATCTTGATCAAATTCTTGATAGTCACTACCAAGGTGGATTGTTGTAGGGTCTGTTTTGTTGTTGTTATCACTATCATGCAACCCTTCAAATGGATCAAAGTCTACATTCAACATTTCAGATAAACCAATTGGTACATACACAGTTTTTGCATCAAGCTCATGTTTTTGTTGTACTCCCTTGTCTTGATTATCTCTTGTTACACTTAATGGTGCTTCCTTGTCTTGATTATCTCTTGTCACACTTGATGGTGCTTCCTTGTCTTGATTATCTCTTATCACACTTGATGGTGCTTCCTTGTCTTGCTTATCCCTGATTTCACTTGATGGTGCTTCCTTGTCTTAATTATCCCCTGTTTCAGTTTCCATGTATAACCTCTTAGAACATGACCTAGTACCCTCTCTTGGCTTCCAATTTCTTATTCTCATTTCTGGCGAAAGTGATTTTAATTCACCTCCATAAACCACAAGTGGTAATGATGAACTACAACTTTCATGTTGGGGATCATGAACTAATTTTTGTTTTCTTTGTTTTAGTTCAATTGCCACCTCATCTTCTTCATTTAGTTCTTCAATGACAACACTATTTCTCTTATTTGGTGACATGAAGTATGTAACCAAGTTGGTTGTGCCATGTTCAGTATACACCTGGATCACCTTGTTAGCTCCAGTATATTTAGCTAGGTTACACACATCTTGATCATTACCTAGAGCTCTAAGGCCAAAAATCAAGTCTTCATTGGGAATCCTGAAGTGATAATATATTACTGGGGGGACCATGTATCCTAGTTCTAGCATCATAGCGTTCAGTTCATGCACTGAAAACTCATCTATATCAACTAAATCAATATACGTAAGTTTCCCCTTAACATATATTACATTTGGAAAAAGTGTGAACTTCCCACCATGGCGAAGTTCAATCGTGAACAAATAGGGATGATCGACTATCCTAAACAACAAAAAATACAAAATGTAGTTAGCATATTGTGTGAAATTTCAAAAAATTTAAGTTTAAAAAGCTATAATAACACTCACCATACAAATCTAGTGCATCAAACCCCATTGTCGAAGGACGTATAGTCCACAGTGAATGCACCATTTTTTCCTTCTATCTACTGGATTGCAGTTCAGCTAAAGAAAAGATTCGGGGTGGAAATCGTTGACTTAGGGTTTGAATGTCAATGGAACTTGAACGAGGATGAAGCTGGAGTGTCTGATGTTTTTGGGCATCGTTAAATGCGCGATAATAGATGAGCATTCCCCCTTATAAATGAAAGGACAAAAATACCCTCGCGTGCATGGCATGTGGGGAAGAAAACGGAATGGCTCTAAAGGCAGTTAGATGCAGGGACCAAATCCACAGCTCAAACATCAAATAAGGACGTTTTTTGCTAGCAAAATTTTTTTTTTGGACCTTACCCACAGAAATCGGCAAACCACAGGGACCATTTTATGTAATTTTATATATTTCAAAAGCTTCCAGCTATTTTTGCCAAACATTCATGGGTGTGTTTGGCACGGAGCGTTTGGAAACATTTGAGAGCTTCTAGCTTTTAGCTTTTAGCGTTTGACAAAACGCTCCGATTTGAACAAAAAACATTATTTGGCACTACAAGCTTGTAACGTTTAGTTTAAACAAAACGCTCCAAATCCAAATGCTACTTCATGTAGCGTTTAACAGAACGCTACAAGCTACAAGCTACCCGCTATAAGTTACCCGCTAACAGCTAATTTTGCCAAACATGCCCATAGGCTAAAAATTAAACGTTTCTGTCGCCGAACGAGTTTTTTTCTTTTTTACTAGTGTTTTTTTAAAAGCTAAAAGTCAGAAGCTCTCAAACATTGTGTGCTGAACACGCCATATACGAGTCGATCAAAGTGATGAGGAGTAAATCTAAAAATTTTAACCGAAAGAGACTGAACTTATTGGTTCATAAATTATAAAATGTTTTAGAAGAATGGATCTTGTTTCAATCTATTCTAAGTTGTTATAGAAATGATAACGGAGTAGGAACCCAATTCTCATCCTTATGGAAAAATATAAATGCATCTGCCTCTTTTTATTCCCATGCATGGGATATGGAGATGTTGGTGGGGAATCAAAACAATTTCCCCACAAAAGATTACAACTTTTACTTAAATAAAAATTCTAAATTTTAAAACTGCCAATTTTATTTTAAAAGAAAAGTTAAAAACAAAGTAATTTTCAGAAATTGCATAAACAATATAAATCATCTTTTGTGTATATTGCTCTCCAAAATCACTAAACATAAATAGTAAATCAAACAGTTCAAGTTATTACTAGTTGGACAATATGATTTTGTGTATATTTCTATCCAAAATTACTAAACATAAATGGTAAATCAAGCCATTCAAGTTGTAACTAGTTGGACAATATGATTGAATGTGCTACACTGCTATCACCGTAAATATAAGACAATGAAAATTTTCAACAGGTGTCCATTAAAATTTAAACAATTCGTGGAATGAGAGTTTTAGTATTTGATATATATTTAGTTTACTCTAGATCACAAATTTGGCCAAATCCATATGAATAGGACCTTGAACACTGACAATATAAACATAAAAAGTAAAAAGAATGAAACTTTCGATATTAATCGTATTTGGGTTAAAATTAGATACACCAAGAAACAAAGAAATTTTTTTATATTTGAGGTTTAAAATAGATAAAGCAAGGATATTTATATTTTTAAATGAGTGATTACCAATGTGTTGGGAGATATCACCATTAATGATTATTATTCAGTCTAATTTGGAGACAGAGGAGAAACGTGTCCTCTCTTTTAAATTAGCGTGTTTAAAGTTAAATTTTAGGTGTATTTGACTGTCATTTTAATTGTTTGCTTTGTCTTAGTTTATTGGTATTGGTTTTTTAATTCAAAATTTGTTACCCCTATAAATAGCTGCAAGTAATGAAAGTGATTGAAAACCAAAAAGTAATATTAATTACTTTTTAAGCTTAAACTAAATTCAAATGAGAAGTCGGTGGTTTCTTTATCAATAAAAGTTGTTTGGAGAAATAATTCCGAGGAGTGTAAACTGTAAAGTGTTAAAAAGTGATCGATAACTAACTAAAAAAAAGATCACTAAAAGATTGCACCAGCCGGGAATCGAACCCGGGTCTGTACCGTGGCAGGGTACTATTCTACCACTAGACCACTGGTGCCTTTTGCTCTCTGCATTAAGGTTGAATTATATATATCATGATTTGCGAATTTAATAAAAAAAACTTTACCCTATTTTGTAAATGTTCAATTTTTCTTCAAAAATTAGTGAATATAAAATATTATCTTAATATGACTTAAAGATGTGCCCACATACAAGGTTTGGTATGCAATCCCAATCGTTATTACACGGAATATAATCTGATTATTATTTTTTGATAATGTATATTTCATTTTTTTTTTTAATAAAAGTAGTGCATACCTAGTTGAGAACATAGGTCTACCATTACGATCAATCTAACTATTTGGATTTGTACTTGTTGCGAAATAAATCTACAATTCTTTTACACAGACAAAGTAGTCATAAAAGGATCACATGATGAGTTTGTGATTTATGATCTAGTTATTTAAGGTATGTTTGATCTGTAGTCGACTGGGTTCAGTCAGCTCTTTTGGCTGATATGATCCGGTTAACTTGTTTGATAAATGACTAATTATGTCTAATCCGGTCCAATGTGCTGATCCGGTTATGAGAAAATGTCTGATTCGGTCCTAGGTAAAATAGAGGTTGACTAAAACATTTCCCACATTACCCTGCTCTGAAGCTTTCAACAGTCCATCATGAACAACCCAACCTTTTCTCCATCTCCCACTTTTGTCTTCTCCAACGTTTGCTCCTCCTTCTGCCATCATCGGTGCAGCCCTCCTCCATCGCAAATCATCCATCGCCGCCTTTGTCCTCCATCTCCATTGATAAGGTCTGCAATCGAACATGGTGTTTTCTCCTTAAGCGGGGGAGAGTGGTAACACCCTTTTCCAGATTGGTTTAGCTTAAGACTTAACACGATCAAAGATGGAGTTTTAATTGGATTAGGTGTCTAAGCCCATAACTATAATTGGTATGTATTTGAATTGATAGTGGCATGATCCTTTTGGGTTGCCTTCACACATGCAACTAGACAAGATGATTAATTGAGGAATAGAAAGAATTTTTTTAATTTGATTAATAAATTGGAATTAGTGATTTATTAATATGTTATGGAAATAATATATCAATTAGTAATCATGTTATTAGTTAATATTTAATCAGAAATTAATTTGGAATTGATTTTGGGATTAAAGGAATTAATTAATAGTGTATTATGGACTAAAAGTGCAAATGTTCAATAGTTGAGCAAAACGGTCCAGAACTTTCCTAGGGAAGAGTGGACAGTTTTATGATGATATATGTAAGATTATTCTAGAGTTTCTAGAATATCTTATCATATATGGATAACTAAAGGATGTGAATAATTACCATATTGGAAATTAGGGTTAATCCATAGCATCCTTGGTGTACTATATAAATAACCCGTAGGGCTATGATTTTCAGCCCCTCTTTGGAAGAAGCCATAGCCGAAAATTTGATCTCCTCCTCCTCTCTCATATCATTTTCTTGCATTGTGTGTTTGTGAGCCATTAGAGGTGTTACACTTGTGACACTAAGTTCTCAAGCTTCAAGATCTACAAGGGATTCATTGTTATTACAATATACAATCAAGGTATGTAACCTAAACCTAGTTCTATATGAATTTCGAAAATTATATATACTTCCTAGGGTTTCTCCTTTTGTGTTCAAGTTTGCATGTTCAATTAAAGAAAACCTAAATCTAAAGCATTAGGGTTGCATGCTTACTTAAGAATTATTGTTATGCTCAAAACACATCAGTGGTATCAGAGCCTAGGATTAGTTTTCTGTTGAATATGATGTGATTGTGAATTGTTCAAAGAAGGGAATAGTGTAGTCATTATGTTCATCGAACTCGACGATTTCATCTTGGAACTCGATGAGTGCATTGCCCAACTCGACCAGTTGCACTATCAGATCCTAATTTTTCGGTTTTGATAAATGTCTGATGGATTGATTAGGATAATTACCTTAAATTCGTTTTAATTGTTTAAAATAGGATATTTTAATCATAATTTTGTATCATTATCATGAATTCATGATTGGGTTAAGTTATGATAAAGATAAAATTAATTTGTTAATTTAATTATTAAAAATTTAACCTAGTATTTTGAAAAGTTTTAAAAATACACCCTTGGTTTTAAAATATATAATTTAAATTAAATAGTTTAATTTTGAAAATTTAAAACTTAAGAACCCTAGTATTTTAAAAGTTTAAAATACACTCTTATATATATTGTAAAACTAAGAGTTTATATATATATATATATATATATATATATATATATATATATATATATATATATATATATATATGTATGTATATGTATATATATATGTATATATATATATATATATATGTATATATATATGTATATATATATACATATATATATATATATATATATATATATATATATATATATCACGAAGCCGATCTATAATAGTTGGGGGTATAAGGAAACTGCCTATAAAGTGGCAGTTGAATGGTGTCCACTCTCACCCACCACTTCCTTGATTGGTGAAGGGTCGTTAGCCGAACGGGTTTGATAGGACACTAAACTCTCATTAATAAATATAATGATATACAAAGTAACTAAATGTTTTTATAAAATTCCCAAATCTTAGTTACTTTAGGAAAGTATGAATTTGATGTTAATCCATGAAATTGGACATTGCACTTTATAAAAATCATAGTGGAGCGTGTGTGGTTAACCGATACACTAATATGGACTAATAAAGGATGGTAATGTGTAGCTCGTAAATTATCGTCTACTAATGGAGCGTGTGTGGTTAACCGACACATTAATTAGATGATAAACGACATCGAGAGTACCAAGCTAATTTGCATGGTTATTCACACATTTTTTGTGATCCTTGGTATCCTAGTCACAAATGAAAATGGCATAATCGAGATTAAACATGCCATTGAATACTTCAATGAATTTCAAAAGCTCTAAGAATTTCATTTAAAATTTAATTCGCTTAAAATTTCGTTTTCGTGATGGTGAAATTGGTAAATCGTCATTTACCTACCTTTAAATAATTTGCAATTAGATTACGTCATCCCTCTTCTGAATTGTGAATTATTTAGTTGGATCCTAGCCTTAATATTTAATTTGGGTGTTATATTAAGGATTTTTTAATCTAATAAAATTTTATCCCTTTTCCTTTTCAGATGCCAACTTCAAACAATGCCTCCGGTTCCTCCAACAAGAACTCCAACCACTTCTCTCTCTTGAGCATATGCTCCAACGTCACTTTCGATGGTACCGATTATAATGATTGGATACGTAACATCAAGATGGCTTTGCGCTTCAAGGACAAGGAATATGTTCTCGAAAAGGAGCTGAACGAGATCTATGAAACTAAAGCTACTCCTGAAGAAATACCTGAGTATAGGCGAAACTGCAATGATGTGACCAAAGTGTCATGCATCATGGTTGCCACTATGAATCATGAGCTACAAAGGTTCTATGAGGACTATTAGTTATATGATATGAACAATGACTTGATGGAAAAGTACCATCAACGAGCTCGTCAAGAGATGTACAGAATAGTCAAGTCACTCATAACCAGCAAGATGAAGGATGGAGAGTCTGTCACGACCCACTTGCAACGCATGCAATATTATGTGGATCGTCCATTGAAGCTCAATGTTAACTTTGATGAGGAATTGGTTATTGATATGGTCTTGCACTCATTTCCTAGCTGTTATGATCATTTTGTTATGACTTATCATCTGAACAAGGAGGAAACTACATTAAGTCAACTCCAAAGCTTGTTGAGAACAGCCGAAAGTGGGATGAAGTGAAAGAGTATTGCTTCCAATCATGTTGTTACTGCTCCCGTCTTGGCCATTGCGCAAAGGAAGGGTTGTTTAGATGTTGAATAACCCAATAGAGTGTGTAAGCTTAAGAAATCAATCTATGGATCGAAACAAGCTTCTCGCAGGTGGAATCTTTGCTTTGATGAGAAATTCAAAGAGTTTGGTTTCTCTAGAAGTGGGGATAAGTCTTGTGTGTATGTGTGACAACCGTCAAATTTTATTCAAACAAAGTCAACAAGGCAACCTGGTCAGCTCAACTTGTACTAGTATGTTAGGGTTTACGTTATGTTTCCTAATGTACAACTTACTACTATAATACAAAGTATCACTCTAAAGTTTCATATGTTCAACTGTCTGCACCTTAAATATGGTGAGAAACATAACAACTCGATAAAACACAACTATGTATCCTTCAAGGATGTATAACACTCATAACATGGTGTAGTGGAGTTTTCAATCCTAACACTATGGGGCAAAACCATAACAAAGGCTACAAGAAAAATCTCTATCTCTCTCCCCCTCTCTCCAAAATATCTCCCAAATCTCTCTCAACTTTTTCATAAACACCCATACCATTCCAACCCTTCAAATGGTTGAAAACCACTCGAAATGGGAAGAGAATATGAAAAACTGCAAGTTCACTGCGAAACCCTCTCATGTGAACCCTACTTTCGGACCGAACCCACACCTTTTGCATACGAAACTGGCCACTTCCGCAGGTATTGGCAACTTTCGCATCTCCTCAGAAAGGTTCGCATTCGCAGCCCTACCTTCGCATCTGCTCGGACATCCTCACTTGCGAACCGAAGACTCTCGCATAGGAACCGAGAACTTTCGCACCCGAGAGCCTTTGCATGCGAGTCTCTCGCACCCAACCTTCCCTTCACATCCTTGCCTCTCAGTTTCGGATTTTTGAGCAGTTTTGCATTATACCTCATTTTTACGAGTTTTGACGTGGCTTTTCCACCAAACTCATATTTTTCACATCTTAGACCCCTTAAACTCATATTTTATCCACATCTTGAAGATTTATTAAATATAAATCAGATTTTTGTTTAAAATAATATCTAAAGGACATAAAAGTATTTTATGATTTTTTACATAAAGTTATGACACAAGCCACCTTTGTGTCTACTTTATGTCACTATTCAAAATCTATCTAGTCTCCCTCTTGTTAAATCATTGTCCTTCTCATAATTTATCCCAACAACCCTCCCACTTACTTTATTTTATCCCAAATAAACAATCCCCAGATGTTTCTTTCTTCTCATCCAAAATTCCACTTTCTCTCCAAAAGAAAACTTCTCTCTCTCTCTTTCTCTCTCTCTATAGCCACGATATTCCAAGAGGTGTTCTTGAGCTTTTCCCCATGTTTGGTAAGTGTTTTCCTCCAACTTCTAAACAATCTACACCTTCTATGCAAACCGTGAATCATTTACACACACACACACACACACACACACACACATATATATATATATATATATATATATATATATATATATATATTTGTCCATAGGATCATCAAATCTCCAAGTATCTTTCAAGTGTTCTTGACATGAAACTCCTCATCTTCCACTTCCACACAACAAGAAATTGTTGGGTTATGAGCAATACATCAATCCTATGGTGTACATGCAAACCCTAATGTTTGTATCTAGTTTTTCTAGTTATACATGCAATAATTATCCAAGGCTTGCAAACCCTGATCTAGCATACAATAAAAATCAAAATCTACATCTAATGAAGAGTTAAGATAATACCTTTAATTTTAGCTTGAAGATCTTTGAGCTTTTGAGAAATGTAGCACCTCAAATGTGATGCCTCTAATGAATCACAAACACCAAAGCAATTGGATGATCTTGGAAAGAGAGGAGGAAGGCTCAAATTCGACTCTATGATCTCTAGGGTTCAAGTGGTAGCCGAAATTGTGAAGCCTAGGGTCCTTTATATAGGTGAGGAATTAGGGTTTTAGTCAAAGTCCTCATCCGGTTGCTT